ATGGTGCTATTGTAGTATTCGTGGCTGTCATCTCTACTGTTTAAACCGTTGACTCGTAGAGTAATGAAGGGACATTCGGCGCAGAGAGCTCAAGATGGCAAAAAAAACAATGTAGTTGATTTTTTGTCGTAATAGTCTAGAAAACCCTCTTTTCTGCACAAGATAGTTGGTTCAACCACGTCGGGCTTTCTCTCCCCTCAAAATTGGAACTACTGATTTTTAGCAACTACTGTACAAAAATGCCTCCTGGGTAAATGATCTTTTCTGAGATATTCGAATAGGAAAAGTCATCTTTCGGCTCTGGATTAATAGCAGTGCGGTTTTACACTTATACATTGTGGGCGATTTCAATTCCTACTGATACGTCTCATTCTCTTTACGCCTATAAGATGGGCAAGCGCATCGAGCTGGATCAGTGCTACGTCGTCAAGCTGGAGATGCCGTAGAGACACGCTGAGCTGGGACATGAAGTGAAATAGGACTCATTGTCGCGTTGAGCAGAAGGGGGGGGGTGGTTAGGACTTTTTACAAGACATGTTTGACCTTGTCACATTCTTTACAAGTGCTGGAAACTAACATGATTTTCAGCATTCTCATTCTCGTCGTCAGAAATCTCACTTGAAGCCTTAGGCTTTATTTTAATCTGCTCAGGTATGGTGAAAGTGGAAACTGTACAGACGAAACCATTTCAAGGGCAGAAGCCGGGAACAAGTGGACTCAGAAAGAGGGTGAGTTCACTATCTTATAAGTGAATTGTTTTGTTTATTTTACCTTTCGGATAACTAGGAGCGCAGTTTTGTACCAATCCTTGGAATATATTTTAAATTCTGACATCAGATGACACATTGATCCAAAATGGATTCCCCAAACATGTTATTATTTTTTCTTTCGAGCTTTTTCTGTACCATTCCTCTCCTAGGGAATTTCAAAATTACTCAACAAAGAAAGTGAGAACGTCTCTTATCAGTTCAGGTATTTCTCTCACTGCAAAACTTTTTAAGTTTTCATGAAGGGAAAACTTCCAGATGTAATCAAAAAGTTCCTCAAAAACGAGTATCGGTTCTTTTTTTAATTGCACATGTGTGCTCTACCTTCACAGTCACGCAAGTTGAAAGAGCATATTTTGAAAATCATGGTGTGTTCTAAATAATAGATCAAATAACATAAGCAAGTTTGTACATTAGCCGCAATTTGTGTCTGCTTTTTTTTGTAGTGCATTTATGTTTGTATGGCCTTCTTCGAGGTTATCTTTTGCCTCAACTGGTGTGTAGGATTGAGAGTGAAAACTCCAGGGCTTTCAAGATTTGTTCCTATTTTTTCACAGGTTCCCGAGTTCAACAAGAACACTATACTGAGAACTTTATACAAGCTGTTCTGGATGGAGGTCTAGGTTTCAAGAAGAAAGGGCGCCACCCTTGTCGTTGGCGGCGATGGAAGATTCTTGTGCAAAGAAGCTGTAAACGTCATAATCAAAATTGCAGCTGCAAACGGGGTTGGTAGACCTTTCGAAGTGTATTATCAGTATTAGCAGGTACATCAAAATCTAACGGTTAGCCTTCCTCATTCAAGATTGCTCATTTGATCATTGGGCAGAACGGTTTTCTGTCAACTCCTGCGGTTTCTAATCTAATCCGAAAGGGATTCGAAGGGAAGAAGATTGATGGAGGTATGTTCACATTGTCGTCCTGTGGTCAGAATTCTGTCAACTATTCGTTATCTTCAGGAATTGCATTTCACTGCTAGTACCCACACCGGAGGTCCAAAAGCTGTTTTGTATAAGTTCAACTGCGAGAATGGCGGACCAGCTCCTGACGCTGTGAGTTTTGGAGCACATCATTAACCAGCTACATTTTTTTAACATGTTTTCCCCAGGGTCAGGATTGGCAGAGCTTCGACTGCTTTCAGAACAAAGAATATCCCGTTAGCATGTGGCGGCTGCAGAGCGCCAAGATTTAAACATACCGAGGCCAACGCAAATAATCAATAGCATCAGAAATCGGCCGCGAGCGTAGTATTTTCGATAGTCACGCTACACGAGTTACTGTATCTGCAGAATATTGGCGCACGTGGCACTGGCATCGAATAAGTAATGTCTAAAGGAACCAATAGCATCAAAAATAACAACAGTAACGTTTTTTTTCGAACCCTTCGCATTTGTGCTGATGATTCTGCAGAACAGTAGCGACATACATAGCACATAGCGTTACGTATGATTTTGATATTATTAGTTATTTTGTGCCAAGCCTGAAGCCTGGACTAATTATGCATTGCAGGCGCACTTGGCTGTCGAATACAAAAGTTAGATCAGTTAATTCAGAAATGCGGAAGTTCTTATCTCATTTATCAATTTAAGGTGACCAATGCTATATATACTATTACAACACAAATATCCACTTATTCTATCTGCCCAGATCTGCAATGTGATTTCTCCCAAATTGGAACGTAAGGTTTCAGCCAGTTACGGCCAGTTGTTAGTGCCTAATATCTTCCTTGCAGAAGTGAATTTGACGTGGAAAATGTTGGACACTTCGTTGTAGACGTCATTGACTCCGTAAAGGATTATGTGGAGTTAATGCAAAGAATCTTCGACTTCGGGAAGGTAGGTTGTTCTCACGGGTCTCCCAGTGGGAGGTCAACTATTGTGATTCCATAAGTGATAAGTTTTACTTGTTCACGTTGCGGACTGCACATTAAAAGCAACTTGTAAAGTTTGCTTTCAATGAAGAGTAGAATGAAGGATTCGATGTGAATATTCTAGCGTCTTGCTTTTGACGGCTAAATCATTCCCATTACGGAAGGTTTTCGAATGCTCACTCCGTTGTTTTTTCTTTGTGAGAGCAGTTGGCTCTAATTGAAGAGCATTGGAACGCAAAAAGAATGCCTGCCTTGCTTTGAAATGTTATGCGAGTCACCTCGCAGATTCGCATTTGTTAAACCGAGAATACGAAAACATTACGAAACTACCGTTCTGTTTCTTGTGGCGGGGTACGTCATGTAATTGCAAATTCACTAGAGCACGTGGACTCCCCCAAAAATTCAACACCCGTCCTTGAAGCTCTTGGTGCTATCTGATTACACATTACTGCTGAATCAGCAATGAAGACCTGCATCCGGGGAAACCAAGTACATTTAATTCATTAGCGGCATTATAAGAAAGGAAATTTAATAGTTTTCTACAGAGAGAACTAACTGACGAATAAATCCGTACTGGTTTGTAGACGACAATTTAGTCAATGTGTTATTCCTTCCTCTCAAGAAACAGAAGACGAA